TCAAAAGTGTTGGGAGGGGGTGGTCTCTCAGAATGGATCCAAGGTTTTCCATGAAAATTGAAACAGACATCGCTCAAAATAAGTATCTACATTTCGATATTCGAAATTTTTATATCGAGATACACAATCGTGGGAGGAGGGACTGAATAATTTGGATAGGGGGACTTCGGGAGTGACAGTCAGATTTACATTAAAATTAGCATGGACATGTAAACTTCTGTTTAATTTTTTTGGGTCTGCCCCCTCCCCCCATATGGTGATTAAGGGAATTTAGGGATCTCTCAAAATTGGCTCTAAGGATTAGTTGAAAACTGAAAAAGAACAAGGGTTTTAAACGTAGTTGTTATTTCACGTGAATTTGCTAGTCTCAGTTAAATTTAAAATATTATAGGTTACTTTTACATTCACGATATTGGATTTAAACAGGGTTCGTATAATTTACTGGAACACATATATTACAAAGGTATCAGTATTGCATTATGCATATATATACGTTAAAGCTTGGCTTATAAAACGTTTTATCAAAATAATCTTTGTGTACAAGGTCACGATACTGGAAACAAACAGACACAACCTCGCAGCACGAAGACAACCGCAATATATGTGCTAGACACAACGACCCGAATACGCGTGCACGGGTCACAACCTTGGGATAACGTCACCTTGAAGGTAGACGTCACATGACTGAAAAACAGCGACTTTCAGACAGTTTACCAGCTTCTTAGTATGGTTCAGATTCACGAAAAACCTTAGCCGCAAAAAAAGAAAAGAAAAAAAGAACAACAACTGCTGTCGTCGTCGTTATAACTTGTCGGTGATTAGTGCTTTTTTCTTTGCTTTTAATTTAGAAAATACCTTAGAAATGTAAAGCAGTAAAATATCACAAACAGGAAAAAACGTTTCTGAGTACAAGTACAATCAATGCGTGTTTTAAAAAAGTGTTAATAAAATCTGAATATCGGTAATACACACACGTATATATATAGACTTTACAAAAAAATTAACTTGGCTAAAGCACAAGACCCTGCTAATCAAGTTTAATATAACACTGTTTTCCCTCGGTTATCATAAATATGACAAACTAAGAGATCGGGAACAATCTGACTGTGTATTTAATATAGGTTTTTCGTATCATTTCGCTTCTAAGCACAGAAAGAAACATTTTCAGTTTACAAAAGTGGCAACTCCCCCAGTGACACAACGGTATGTCTAAAGACCTGTGACACTAAAAACCGGGTTTCGATACCCATGGTTCGCACAGCAAATATAGGCGATTATGTAGCTTTGTAATTAACAGCAAATAAAAAATAAATATAGACTAAATATATATATATATATATATATATATATTTCACAGGGAGCTAGTCAATCTACGTTCCATGAACAGTGTACAAACTTAAAAATTAAATCACTTCAGATTTCCTGTCACTTCGAAAATGTTATTGATATTCTTTAGGCTAGACATAATATGGTGGCCCTTCTGTATACCATTACCAATCGATATCCTTCCTATAATAAATGAGGCAAACTAAACAAAGTACTGAAGATTGAAATGTATTATTAGGTTACCTCGATGTAATGAAAACTGCAACAACTCGTTCTCCGCTTGCTTGAGGCTACGTTAATGACTAGATCAATAGCTATGAGTCAACCCAACCTTTTATACACAAAATGTTGTGAAAAACACGTTGACAATTATAAATCTATATTGCTTTTTTTTAGCAGTAGCTTAAATAACTGATATCCAAAATATTCGATAAATGTCTGTTATGAGAAAAATTTAACTTTTATATATATATATATATTTGTATTGAATCTTTATGTGCGTTCAAATACCTAGTCTTTCTATAACACTTTTGGTATACAGAGCTCTATTAACTGTAATTTAGTTTCTCTTGGCAGAATGTAAGCAAAAACATCGAATCTAGAAAACCCTTACAGCATTTATCTATTTCAAGAGCATCGTAGTCTACGTCAAAAAATGAGTGGTCGTAATCAGCATAGCAGCATGAGCAGTCATAAATTATATCAAAATACGGGTGGTCGTAATCAACATCAAAACATGAGCAGTCATAAGTTACATCAAAACATGAGCAGTCATAAATTACATCAAAACATGAATGGTCGTAATCAGCATCAAAACATGAGCAGCCATAAATTACATCAAAACATAAGTGGTCGTAATCAACATCAAAACATGAGCGGTCGTAATCAATCTCAAAATACGAGTTGTCGTAATCAACATCAAAACATTCAGCAGTCATAAATTACATCAAAACATGAGTGGTCGTAATCAACATCAAAACATGAGTGGTCGTAATCAACATCAAAACATGAGCAGTCATATATTACATCAAAACATGAGTGGTCGTAATCAATATCAAAACATGAGCAGTCATATATTACATCAAAACATGAGTGGTCGTAATCAATATCAAAACACGAGTAGTCGTAATCAACATCAAAACCTGAGCAGTCATAAATTACATCAAAACATGAGTGGTCGTAGTCTACATCAAAACATGAACAGTCGTAATCTATATCAAAATGTGAGCAGTCGTACTCTGCATAAAAATATGAATGGTCGTAACCTACGTCATAACATGAACTGTTGTAATATAGAACATACATGAGCAGTCGTAATCCACGTCAAAATACAGGCAGTCGTAATCCACGTCAAAACACAAACAGTCGTAATCCACGTCAAAACACAAACAGTCGTAATCCACGTCAAAACACAAGCAGTCGAAATCTAGATCAAAACGGTATAAATCCATTTCTCCTATCAAGGCAGAAAGCGATAAAACGTTCTATACAGCATAACATTTATACTAATAATTTCATTAGAAATACGTCGACTACCAACACTACGTATGTCTTCAACTTAACAACAGTAGAAAGTTGTGTGTTAAGTACAGCGTAATAAATACGGAAATAACGTCACAATTAAGTTTCAGTTATTAACGTGCTGATATGCCTACCAAACCATAACTAATGAAATATTTGACAGTCGTTTAATAAGCACATGGACATGAACAATAAGCACGTGGATATTAACATGTGTTGGGCATTTTCTATCAGCTTAGTTACTTTGAGTTTATTATTACATTTTCACTTTAGAAACGAGTTAAATTAAAACTAAACCTTAGCTATATATATAGCTTGTCACGACCAAACAGGAAAACTAACTTATATATAGCTTGTCACGACCAAACAGGAAAACTAATTTATATATAGCTTGTCACGACCAAACAGGAAAACTAATTTATATATAGCTTGTCACGACCAAACAGGAAAACTAATTTATATATAGCTTATCACGACCAAACAGGAAAACTAATTTATATATAGCTTGTCACGACCAAACAGGAAAACTAATTTATCAGCCATAATATATAGCTTGTCACGACCAAACAGGAAAACTAATTTATATATAGCTTGTCACGACCAAACAGGAAAACTAATTTATATATAGCTTGTCACGACCAAACAGGAAAACTAATTTATATATAGCTTGTCACGACCAAACAGGAAAACTAATTTATATATAGCTTGTCACGACCAAACAGGAAACTAATTTATATATAGCTTGTCACGACCAAACAGAAAAACTAATTTATCAGCCATAAAACTACTGGCAGCGGGAATCTGATAAAAAATCGTTCCAACTACAATCAACGTCAATAAAAAGATTCACAAATTTAAACATTACTGAAGAACTAGCTAATAAACTAAAGTGGGTGTAGGTTTATTGACACTTTTGTTACCTATTTTCACATGACCCAGTTCCCCTGTGGCTCAGCGGTACACGAGGCTTATAATGCTAGACATATGAGTTCGATTCTCGCAGCAAAAGCAGCGCATCTTCTTGTTATAATAATCAAAGCAAATGTACAACTTTTCTGTTTCCTGTTTATTTCACATTCTAAAGAAAGTCTTTTTTGTTGCTTTTTCCAGAACAAAACCAAAACCTTGTGAGGATTTCACAAAGGTTTAAAAAAGCATACGTTTACTTTAGATGTTAATTTTGTGACAAACCTCATCTAGTCGTCTAATCTAAATTTTTAATTAACATAGACGCAAAAAAAAAAAAGTACAATATCTTTAGGAAAACATCAGTTAGGGCCTGAACATTTCTAGGAAAACACCAATTTAAACTTTTATGGCGTTGTAAAGTTGTCAATCACATGACAAAAGCTAAATATAATGATTGGTTTTCTAGTTGCCAAGCTGTATAACAAGAAGTTCTGTGAGTACAACTGGCTTATTATTTTTAGTTCTAGAGCGGCATTTTTACACGGCCAATAATTTAATCTAATTAACCAGCTAATAGTGTAGAAGACGGCAAAAGAAGAAAGCTACGTTAGAGAATGAACATATACATACACACAACTGCTAATTATCCATTGTACTGTATATCCTGAACTTAAGTAATTAGCAACCTGAAATGGCGAACGATCTAGTTTAGCAAGCAATAAGTAAATAAATAAATGGGCTCATTATTTTGTAGTATAAACAGTTTATTTTCCCAGAAAGGACACCACACGGAGAACAAGCTAGTACAATATATATATATATATATAATTATGTAGTGTGGTACATAATTAGCTTTAAATTGGTTAATTTACAATTCCTATAATTCTGGTCAACAAATACAAACAGATGATGACCTGGCTATACTGGCATCATTACTGATGTACCTGTTCAACGTGATATTTAGCTAAAAATGGACTTGAGTATGGTTTCCTATGTCAACTACGTGGATTACACACTTCCGAACGAAATGCCGCCATAATAGCCGAGAGCTGTCACGTTCGACAGGGACAACGGGCCACAAGGCTAGACTACATTTGGAGATATGACAGCTTTTATTGATGACGATTAGCTGAAGTGTGAATGCATGCAAACCGCACAAACACAACACAAGTTCAAATTCTACTTAACATGGAAACCTTAAATTTGATATATTACACACAGTCGAGAATGTGGTGTATACTTACCCTTGTTACTCGGACAAAGAACTGCCCCAGCCCAGAAAGCAGCCCTGTGTCGGCTCCGACCAGCTACGTAACTTGTAAGCACGAACTGTATGGTGCTCGTGGGTATAACTAGAGAAATTAGAACGCTAATGTTTTGATACGTTTGTCAAACTTCCGTTGATGGCAGCACTGTTTTGTCTTAGTCAATTTCTAAGATGTCGACTGATGAGTAACCCCTTCTAAGATATAAATGACGGTACTTTACCTAAGTGCACACGGCAATGAGCTACTCAATACAAACTCGACACTTACATACTGATGCCTGTAACGCGCTGACCAAGAAGCGCACGCGCAAAGGAAACTGGCTCACTTCTACAAAGAGAAATGGATTTTAGTGATTAAACGTGTCGCCATCTAGTATTTTCAAACGAAGTATTATCAACATTTGATATAATTATTTTTCTATAAATGTTCATGATCTATTACATAGTTTATATATCGGTATATTTGTGGAATTAACACTTCCAAAATAATAATAAAAAAAAATACATTCTGTTAAACTAAATGTCTGATAATTAAAAGTTTATTTATTCTATAAATTTTAAATTGTACTATATTTTTTGTGCTAGATATTATCGAGTAGTATCACATCAGTACATGGAAAATCTAGCATCATAAAATATAATTAAAATAGACCGAATTCGCGAATTCGCGTTCAGTTACCATCTAAACAAAAATCACTTTCTGCACATTGAGGAATTATAAGTGTGATGGTCAAATAACACTGACAAGAGCATCCTAGGACTATGAGCGGTGTTGGGATATCTTTCTCTGTCCACCGTGGGGATCGAACGCCGAATTTTAGTGTAAATAGCCTTCAAACTTTTCCCTAGTCTATTGTTGTTATTATTTTTTATTTCTTAGTGCTTTAAGATTACATTTTGTTTTGTTTAGATGAGTTTATAAACTATGACAACAATACATCAACTTTTGTGAATCCTCGTAGCATAAGTATCAGCAGATATAATTTACAAAAGAAGTCGGCCTCAAAGGTCCTAAACCAACGACTAGGCTTGTGAACTTTTGGGTTAAAAGATATTGTTATTCCAAGCCTTAAACTACGTCGATCGTTAGTGAGACGTTTTTCATCATTTTTTTCTCTGTTGCGTCATTTATTTTTTCAATGCAGGACACCAGTTGATATATATGTTTAAACAGAACAACAAAAATTATAACTGGAATTTCAACTCTGAGAGGAACTCTGTGTGTACGAGGCTAATCAGCCACGTCAGAGACCCCTCGGATTCAGGTTTTTTGTCGTTGTTGTTGTTTGTTTCAGCATAAAGCTATATAATAGGCTATCTTTGCTGTGGCCACCGCGTGGATCTAAACACGAATTTTAATGTTAATTACCGCTGAGCCACTGGGAGACAGGATTCAGCTATGCAATCCCTTATTTTGAACGACTCACTAGAGGAACGGAACCTAGGCACTACAAAGATTTTACCCGGCTCATTGAATCTAATAATTTGATTGACGGTCACTTTTATGACGCACCCACAGCAGAAAGCGGCATCACGTTTCGGACCCCGAACCATGCGATCCGCATTATGCCACGACCAGCCGTACAATAAAACAAGATATAGAAATAAATGGAATTAATTCACGAACTAAATGTTTCCACCACCTCTCAAACATCCTTTAACCTGTGAGTTGACAATATGTATTGTTTGTTTTGTTTTAAAACTCTTAGGTTATTTACACGTAGCCGAAAGCTCGCTATGTTACATTTTCATAGGTTTGTTTGTTTTTTTGACGCGTATCGAAACTCGGTTTTTAGCGTTGTTAGTCCGCAGACATACCGTTGTGCCACTGGGGGCTTTATTTCATAGGCCTGTATAATGGAACCGATAAAAGCACTTCTTCCAAGATTACCCAGTGAGACCTTTAACTGTTTATCAGGCTGGATCTACATTCTTAACTTGAGTGAGACCTTTATCTGTTTATCAGGCTGGATCTACATTCTTAACCTGAGTGAGACCTTTACCTGTTTATCAGGCTGGATCTACATTCTTAACTTGAGTGAGACCTTTATCTGTTTATCAGGCTGGATCTACATCCTTAATTTGAGTGAGACCTTTATCTGTTTATCAGGCTGGATCTACATTCTTAACTTGAGTGAGACCTTTATCTGTTTATCAGGCTGGATCTACATTCTTAACTTGAGTGAGACCTTTATCTGTTTATCAGGTTGGATCTATATTCCTAACTTCAATAATCAGAGCTTTCGATGAGTTTACTTCGTTTTAAGACTCAGTAATCTCGTTGTCTAAAATAAACTTAGTATTATTAATCGCACAACAAGTTCTTGTGACGACAGGTGCTTCTGACTGGCCATGTTTCCTATGATCAATAGTTCAAAATTAGGGACAACTACACCTGAATTTTAGAATTTCTGACCTGGATGTTTAGCCTATGTACTACATATAGGCGCTGTACAGGTTGGAAATACCAATACTCTCGAAGCGCCCGATTTATATCCCAAACAATGGACTCGTGTGAATTCTCAAGTAGCAAATTTCTTACATTTTTTAATTGGTTGAAATATGTAAGACTAACTTCAGTGATGGTTGAAATAATTTTGCTAACAAGTAATACATAAGTTTCTGGAAAAATAAACAATTGAAAAATAGATTTTGTATGAACGTTAAACTTTCTTTATTCGACTTTATTGTGAATTCGTCATATTGCCTTTTATAGCAATTTGATTTGGTTTAGCTTAGACGTATGATACAAGTGTTGACTAACTGTCTTTTTCAACATGGCGTCTCAAGAAAGAATACAGCATATTTGCATCTGTGTGTTATTATAATGTTAAATTTACTATTTACAGAAACTGGATGCTGCTGTTTAAATTGCAATGACAACGTACTAATGAGTCTTGGAAATGTTATCTCACCTGTCATCATTCGCTCTTGGCTAAAACTGTTGATTAAACAAGATCATTGATGCTAACAACAGCAAAATAAACAAACAAAAAGTAAAATTAATTATATATATTTCAATACTGTCGAAAAGAAGAGTAGCTGTATAAAGTTGATAAATTATGGAATAAGCTGCTATTTAAAGAGTTTACTGCAGAATATCGCTTTGGGGAAAAACTGGCTTGAGTTCATACAATTGTTGTTATTATTATCACTAGATGTCAGGATCACATAAACGTAACTTTAACAGGAAACGATAATCAGAGCAGATGCTTTTATATAAAATGAAACTAGTTTACAATACTTGCTACTTGTAGAAATTCAATAAAATTTCCTTCGTTTAATGTTATATGAAATGAACAGAAATCAAAAAACTAATCAGCTCAAAATTTTGTTTTTGTGTTTTTGAAGAAGGAGACGTATTTTTGAGATAAATAAAATATATTTTTTTATTTTGTGTTTCGTTTATCACAACAAATTCCTAAACTTATCATAGATGTTCAAAGAGTTATTATTGCAACATATTTATACTTGATCAAAATCTAACCATATATGAACGATGCTTGAAGTAAATAAACAACAACAACAACAAAAATCTAAGCTATATGTTATCTATATATTTTGGTTTTGCAACATAAATAAGTTAATTCCAAGACGGAATATATATACATTTTGTAACACAAGGTATCTATATCATTACGTTAGTATGGTGATATAAGTTGAGAACTTGTGGTACTGTTTTTACATTTTTTTATCAAACCATAGGAGACGAATTAAATGTCAACCTAAACTCACGGTTAGGAAATGACCATAAATATATAGTAATATTATACAATCAGGTGTTAAAATAAATATATAGTAATATTAAACAATCAGGTGTTAAAATAAATAAATAGTAATATTAAACAATCAGGTGTTAAAATAAATATATAGTAATATTAAACAATCAGGAGGTAAAATAAATATATAGTAATATTAAACAATC